CAAAGTGATTAAATACTAAAGTGGGCCAAACTCATAGTTGGATGACGACATTTTATGTCCCAAGTATTTAAATATATACAGTTATATATATATATATATAGATAAATTGGTCTGTATACGGAGTGCACAGTACAACAGAAACTGGACTCCCTTTGTTTACAAACACAGACTTAGAATTTGTATTTAACGTAAATTAAGATTTTAGATGTGAATTTTAGCCATTTTCCTGCACAATAAATAATTTCAGACAGCACAATAATGCCTGCAATTTGTAAAACATGGAATGCAGAATTTGTGATATCGAAAAATAAAGATCTTCGAAATATATCTCTTGGTCTTCACTTTTGTATTTTGACAAATTTAAGAGTAGTTTAGAACTAGACAGACATAGCTTTAAAGACATTAAGAGAGGCGTATTCAGGTTTTGTTTTCCATGAAGGGCATACATTTCTTTTTCTTTTTAGGGGAGGCTGGGGCAAAACAAAACTAAGCAGATTTAAAGATAAATTCTTATAGAATTAAAAGTGCAAGCCTGCCAGGCAAAATCAATGAATTTATTAAGCGACAATATAGTATTTGCATATAAAACACATAAAAAACTTACGAAAATTTTTATTTTTGATTATGAAAATTTGGAAGTTCTAGCTAAAGACGACATTTACATTTTTTCTAGTCTTTACTTTCCAAAAGAAATCTTTTCATGCAATTATTTCCAAACCAAATAAAATCTTATGGCCCAACCTGTCGTCGTTGCCTTAGTCTGTTCCACTTTAGTATTTATTCACTTTGATACCTCTATAGTTTCTAAAGAATCTTTACAATCTAAAAGTTTAAACTTCTTTAAACTTTTCTTTGCCCAACCATGCTAAATGAACGAAGTCTGCGATTCCAAAATTATGTTCTGCTATTTATTCGCGTTGAAAAAAGACGGCCATTGAAGAACTTATGAAAAATATTGTGGAAAAATGATTGACTTTGTTTTTACTTTAACCATGGTACAAAATTCGCCGTTTAATTCCGCTACATACAGGGTGACCCACAAATGATGAGACTCTAATGACGACCTGAAATTCTTAAAACATAAAGATTTGAAGATTTTATTTGAGATTCTCCTTGCAAGATAATCGTTCACTGGCATATTCAATGGGTTGGGAAAGAAAAAAAACAAGTTTAATGAAACATTAAACCTTAAAGACAGAATGAATTCCGTTCAGTCGTCTCTGAAGTTTCATGCTCTGTGGTTAACCCTGTATCAATAGATAAAAAAGGATTAGATGTATCTCTAGGAATTACTATTACATTGAAGGATGAGGAAACCGTTAAAGGACGAATAATGAAAGGATGAAAGGATGAATAAATGAAGGAATGAATGGTAGGAAGGAAGGATGAATAAATGAATGAATTAGTACCATGGGATGATGAGTAGAAAGGATATATTTACGTCGCCAGTGTCAAGGTGTACCCTGAGTAAATTCCTAGAATCTTTCCCTGATTCCAGGATAATTAAATCTGGCATGTCATTACAGACTTAAACTATCCTCAAGTCAATTATTCATCTATTCATCAGGTTATTCCATCCTTCCATTCACCTATACATACACCCTTACACCCATACATACATTCATACATACATAAATACATACATAGTACATACATTCACCTATACATACATATATATGTACACCCATACGTACTCCATCGGAGCCCTGAAGAGAAAAACTCGACTGAGTTTCCAACTCCGTATTTTTCCCCTGCAAAGCTGTGTCCATAGGATATTCTATCCGCAGCGCTTGACATCTAATCCAAGCCTAGCTGCAGCGCTTTCTTTTATTAATACTTTTATTCTTTCATTCATATCTTCTTTTATTAATACTTTTATTCTTTCATTCATATCTTCTTTTGTTAATACTTTTATTCTTTCATTCATATCTTCTTTAATACTTTTATTCTTTCATTCATATCTTCTTTTGTTAATACTTTTATTCTTTCATTCATATCTTCTTTTATTAATACTTTTATTCTTTCATTCACATCTTCTTTTGTTAATGCTTTATACTTTCCTTTCTGTGGAAACTGGACAAAATTTAAATCTTTACAATCGTCTCATCTGCTGTGGATCCCCCTGTATCTATTAACATACTTGAAGTATAAAGAATCTGAAGCTAAGGCACCATTTTGTTTCTTTGCAGAATTAATCTTTTAACAGTGCAAAGTTTTTGCACAAGGGTTAGGGGCGGTATATCTTGAGGAGAAATCATTTGCTCGAGAAGTTGAGAAGGTGGGGGGGGGGGGGGGGGGGGGGGGGTAATACGTTCAGCAATTATTTTTAAATTGACAAGACATAGTTATTTAAGAGTCCTAAACAGGTATACAGTATACAATATATTTGCTTGGATATACAATTTATCAAATATTTGATTAATTAGTCTGCTCTAGACAATACCTTCAATTAGTCTGCTCTAGACAATACCTTCCACTATGCCAAACCCTGTGCAGTTGAGCTGCACTCTAATCTACATGATTAAAGAAGAGGAAACTTAAAAATATCTAGGGGTACAAAACTGGGTTGCATTGCTTTAAGAATCTAAACTTATTAGGAAACTGTTGAAGCATTGAAAATAATTTTCTTCCGTAAAAATCACGAAACATATAAATATCCTGTTTTATGTGTTATGAATAAGTTTCAGGAATCCATTGGATTTCTCGCATTGAAGGGTCAATATCTATATTGGAGATAAATCAATACTCAATAATCAATAGTGATCTGAATCAGTTTAACGAAATTTGAAAACTTAATATTTCCAATATTATAATATAATATTTATAAACCTGATGATAATTCTTCTTTTTGATTCAGGAGTATACCTGGAGAAGTTTTAATCTTAGCAGTGTCAGGTAGACTCGGAGAGGTTTCATCTCCAATTTTCGGAGAAGGGTTCATCTCCAATATATCTGGAAGAAGGTTTTTTCTTACTACTATGCAGGAAATACTCGAAGAAGGTTTCTCCTTACCATGCAGGAAATACTCCGGGAAGGTTTGTTCTTAGCAGGCAGGAAATAATAGGAGAAGGTTTAATATTTCCATGTAATAAATCTAGGTCCCGAGATTACTCTGCTCTTAGTCTAATTTTAGTCTCACTGACTCTATCTCTAGCCAAAACTCAAGGCTCTAAATCTCAACTCAAAACTCAAGGCTCTATACACGTCCATATAACTCAACGTTTCATATATTACTAATTTATTAATACAGGTGAATAGAACTGACCGGAATGGCCAGTCAGGGTTACATAGATAAAATAGATAACGAAACATAGATAATAAAGATTAAATTGCTCCTGGTAGCACATTATATTACATCCAGGCAGGAAGTACTCGGAAAAGGTTTCGTCTCATCTCATATCAAGGAGAAGGTTCCATCTCAACAGTGTGAGTATATACTAGGAGAAGGGTTGAGTTAATACCTGTGAGGCGTACTGCAGATTCATCCTGGATAATCCTACAAGTGTGAAGAGAGGATGAATGCATGACGAGACATATGTAAACACGGTCCAGGAGAAATATAATTAAGGAACCATGGCTGGTTCTGAACCTTGTATAAGTATATAAAGCTTGCTAGTTTAGAACAGTAAATATCTAAGTCTTACTTGTTTGGAACCAAAAATATCTGAATCCAATAAGTTCGGAACCAAAAATATCTTAATCGTATTTGTTTGTAACCATAAATATTTTAATATTGCTTGTTTGAGACATCTAAATCCTACAACTATTTCTGAACCATAAATATCTAGATCCTACGAGTTTGGAACCAAAAATATCTAAATCTTACAAGTTTCAACCATAAATATCTACATCCTATTAACTCAAACCATAAATATCTGAATCTTACTAGTTTGAAACAATACAATTCTGATTCCCACTACAGTGATAACCAGAAAACTCTGAAATAGGAAGACGATTTTACTAGCCACTTCTTCAATCACAAATTTAGTGAAATGGGTCTAATTACACTGCACAATTGTCGTATCCCATAAATATTGGAACTTAATCAATTCGCTAGTTTATAATAATTGAATTATAATAATTTTATCAAATTAATTATTAATTATTATCGAGTCAGCTGTCTGAAATGATTTGCCATGATATTCAAAAGTTTCATGAAATACAAATCATAATAATAACTCTGTCGAGCACTGCTTAATAGAATAAAAAATAAAAATGTTAATAAAATAATTTATTAGTATGATATTACAAAACATGAAATCAAATGACTCATCGCAGAACTAAAACTATAAAATTGTACGAATCCAATGCGTGTGTTGTATAAATGTTAAATCTGTAGTCAAATT